AGAGCCGTGGAAATACAGAGCTTCATTATTATTTTAAGTGTTACTCAGCTGCTTTATTGAATTCTCCAAGTCAGGAAAAATTCTGGCGAGATAAGAAGTTGACATTTTCAGAAGCAGCAATGGGGGCGGTGCAGGCGGCGGGGACGGCGAAAACTGCCTGGTTGGCATGGGAGTGTCCCCAGCCCTACCACCCACGGCCACAGGCCCCTGCCACAGCCTGCTGACTCAGGGTAGGGGAGCCTAGCCAGCCTGGGGCACCCACGGGCAGGGCAGGGGGGCGAGGCGCTCTGGAGGAAGCTGAGTGGATGTAGGGGCCTCAGTTCCCTCCCTCCCTTTACTAAACTCCTGCTGGGCCAGCCTGGGCCCAGCACGCGCCCCTCCCTTGGTCTGCCCCACTGTGATGGTGGAGGCCGCAGACCTTGGCCACAGAGCCGCGTGCGGGAGCGATGGAGCAAGCCTATGAGCGGAGAGGCTGGCCCTTGGTTGTGGGGAGGGTGAAGGAGTGAGGGACCCTCTGGACAGCCCTCTGGAAGGGCTGTGGGAGAACATGGAGGAGGGATCCGTGAAGACACTGGCAGGAGAGCTGCTCCCAGGCCGCCCGGCTGGCGTGGCTAAGGCCCAGAGGGACCAGGGCAGAGCCTGGAGGCCGGGATTGGGCCACCTCCTCAGGCCTGGCACCGGGTGGGTGCTGAGCCTCCATTTCCTACGAACGTGTGTCATCCGGAGACCAAGGCGGCACTGAGGCACCTCGGGCCTGGTGGTCAGAGGAGCCGGGCCCCAGAGCCGTCTCTCAGGGTGGGATGTCAGCTGCCCCGGAGCAGCGTGGGAAGGCAGGTCACTGTCCCGGGGCCGCTGGCTGCCTCCCAGGCCTTTCCCCTCCACGCAGGCTCTGCTAGGGGGCAGGTGGACAAGCAGACCCTCAGGGCCCGCTGGCAGGGCTGTGTCCCTCTGTCCCTCCAGCATGCCCCCCAACTCCAGAGGTGCCACACCCTGCACAGTGGGCCCTACACATGCTCAGGTGCTGACGTTTTGACCCGCAATGTCCCCTGGAAAAGCCTTCATGGTTAAAGGTAAGGTCCCAACCTACAGAGCTAATAGGAGACGGTGAAACCTTTAGATGGTGGGGCCTAGAGGAAGAGGGTTAGGTCACTGGGCCATGCCCTTGATAGGGATAGGAAATACAGACCTCTGTCTCTCTGTCTGTCTGTCTGTCTCTCTCTCTCTGTGTCTCTGTCTCTCTGTCTCTCTCTGTGTCCCTCTCTGTCTCTCTCTGTCTCTCTCTCTCTGTCTCTCTCTCTCTGTCTCTCTCTCTCTCTCTATATATATATATCTTCCTCTCTCTCTGCTTCCTGGCTGCCCTGGGGTGGGCAGGCTTCCTCTGTCCCCCCCCCCCGCCCCCCCCCCCCCCCCCCCCCGCCATGATGGATTACCCTACTACAACCCACAGCCACAGGACCAAGGCACCCTGGGCAGAAACCTCTGAAGCCATGAGCCAGAACAAACCTTTCCTCCTGAAAGTTCACATATCTTGGGTATCTTGCCACAGTGCTAGAGAGCTGACTGTTAACCCGGGCAGGAGGTCCAGCCCTGCTCCTTGGAGGCCCCATGAGCCCATGATGATGCACTCTCGGGCGCCCGGTGTGGGAGGACCAGGCCCGTGAGGCCAGCCTCTCAGAGACGAGGCCTGGACCACCGTGTGGAGGGGCCTGGCGGTGCGCCGTGGGATCCAGCCTGCCTGGCTCGCAGGCAGGCCCCCTACCGGGGTCCTCCTATGTTCTCGCCCACTGTAGGGACTACAAGCTCATCCGCTTCGTGCTAATGACTTCATTACCACTGTCCCTTTTCCTAAGGAACCAACTGGGCCCTGGACAGACGTGTGCTGGGCACCCAGCCCTGGGTCAGAGCGGCCTGGCTACAGCCTTGCCGGGCAATGGAGCTCCTTGGGAACTGGCCTGAGCGGCCCTCACCCAGCGGGGAAGCACCCCAGTGCTTCTGGGGGGGTTCCAGAGCCCGCCTCCTGCCCTGCCCTCCAGTCCATCAGCTGCTGCAAACCAGGGTCCACTCTTCACCCCCGTAGTTTAGGGCCCAATGGGAACCTGCCGGTCCCCCTTGGTCACCCGGCCCCTGGCCTCCAGGGGACCTCTGGGGTCTCCTCTGTCCTGGCTGTGGTCGCACACCACTGTCTTCTCTGGTTATTGGTTCCACATTGGCTCCCCACCCCCTTCACTAGGCTCTGTGAGGACAAGAGCCAGCATCGGCCTGGGACCCACGGTCAGCACTCTCGGGGGACACAGTTACATCTTAGTCATTACCAGAGACATTGTTCTCCCCACTGGTAGAGGGAAGGACAGGCTAGTAGACCTCAGAATTCAGGCTGCCTGAGCTCAGCACAGGACTTTACATCATCCTGCCCCCCAAAGGCCCTTCCCCTGCAGTCCCACGAGACCGGAGTGGCCAGCAAGGGACGTGGGACAAGGCAGGGTAGCCTGGAGCTCGAGGAAGAAGTGACACCGCAGGTGGGTCCTAGGGACCAGGAGGAGGGAAGGAGACACGATCAATCCAGGAAGCCGGCATGGAGGGATAGGTGTGCAGGGGCAAGGAGGGGCTGGCAGAAGGAAGGGTGGGGAGGTGACAGGGTCTCTGTGCCATGGTTACGCGTGTCCACGCTGGTGTGGAGCCAGGGATACGCTCAGTGTAGCTCAGCCCCGGACAAACCCTGAGGAGATCTGCTTCCCACTTCCTGGGTGAGCAGTCAAAGCTCCACAAGGGTGAGGGGTGTGTGCAGTCCCCGCCCCGGGGTGCGAGCCAAGCCCCTCCCCACTCCAGCCAGGAGGAGGCTCCTCTTCCTCTTCCTCCTCCTCCTCTTCCTCTGCCTCCTTTTCCTCTTCCTCCTTTTCCTCTTCCTCCCTTCCTTCCTCTTCTCCCTCTTCCTCCTCCTCCTTTTCCTCTCCTCCTCCTCCTCCTCTTCCTCTCCTCCTCCTCCTCCTCTTCCTCTCCTCCTCCTCCTCCTCTTCCTCTCCTCCTCCTCCTCCTCTTCCTCTCCTCCTCCTCCTCCTCTTCCTCTCCTCCTCCTCCTCCTCTTCCTCTCCTCCTCCTCCTCCTCTTCCTCTCCTCCTCCTCCTCCTCTTCCTCTCCTCCTCCTCCTCCTCTTCCTCTCCTCCTCCTCCTCCTCTTCCTCTCCTCCTCCTCCTCCTCTTCCTCTCCTCCTCCTCCTCCTCTTCCTCTCCTCCTCCTCCTCCTCTTCCTCTCCTCCTCCTCCTCCTCTTCCTCTCCTCCTCCTCCTCCTCTTCCTCTCCTCCTCCTCCTCCTCTTCCTCTCCTCCTCCTCCTCCTCTTCCTCTCCTCCTCCTCCTCCTCTTCCTCTCCTCCTCCTCCTCCTCTTCCTCTCCTCCTCCTCCTCCTCTTCCTCTCCTCCTCCTCCTCCTCTTCCTCTCCTCCTCCTCCTCCTCTTCCTCTCCTCCTCCTCCTCCTCTTCCTCTCCTCCTCCTCCTCCTCTTCCTCTCCTCCTCCTCCTCCTCTTCCTCTCCTCCTCCTCCTCCTCTTCCTCTCCTCCTCCTCCTCCTCTTCCTCTCCTCCTCCTCCTCCTCTTCCTCTCCTCCTCCTCCTCCTCTTCCTCTCCTCCTCCTCCTCCTCTTCCTCTCCTCCTCCTCCTCCTCTTCCTCTCCTCCTCCTCCTCCTCTTCCTCTCCTCCTCCTCCTCCTCTTCCTCTCCTCCTCCTCCTCCTTTTCCTCTCCTCCTCCTCTTCCTTTTCCTCTCCGCCTCCTCCCCTTCTTCTTCTGTTTCTAAAAAAGGTGATTTTTCATAAAAATATGGCATATGTGTTAACTTGCAATGGTTTATTTATTTTTAAAAGAACTAGTATTTTTAAATATGCCACACTTCACTTCAAATACTGTCGACACCGCAGCTACCGGTTCATCAACAAAGACGTGCTGGGGTGCCCGCCGCCTTCGGGTTCTGTACTGGGTCCCGAGAGCTCAGGCGGGGAGGGGCGATGCCCTCGGCCCGGGGTGGTGGTCCTGGCCACGGGTCAGTGCCCGGGCTGCTGGCGGCCTGCATGCTGTCCTGACCCTGAGGCTGAAGTGGGGAGGAGTGGCCCAGCCCAGCCCAGCGGCTCAGCCACCCCTGCAGCCTCAGGCCCGCCATGCTCCACTCTGGAAGCGTCAGAAGGGAAATGCTACCCTCCCAGCAGGACCAAAGGCGGGGACAGGGACACGCCACCACCATCGCCCCGCCGCCGCCACTGCTGATGGCTCCAGAGATAGTCTCCCCCGGATATTGACTGCAGCTTCCAGAGAGTTCCGCATTGCTCCACGGGGATGCTGCGATGTCTGCCGTTGCTATGAGGCCCAGCACCCGCGGCCCGGGTGTGGGAGGAGCCCCTCAGCCTGCACCTGCCCATCGGTACACAGCTCACTCAGCCCTGACTCAGCCACCCCCCGCCCCTTCAGCCACGCATTCCTCCCATCCATTCATCCATTCAACCCTCTACCGGCCCTTGGTTGACTCACTCCTCCAACCCCTGCCTGGCTACTTCATCATCCAAGACTTAGCAGGCATCTGCTGTGTGTCAGCCACACGTCTAGGAAGACAAACGGACTTCTGTGTGTTCCCTACCTGTAAGGAACTGACATCCGGGAGGGACCTGTGGCCGCCGGTGACTGAGATGATGGGGGTGGAGATGATATGATGATGGTCATTAGAACGGTGATAATGGGGATGTTATTGGTGGTGATGGTGTTGGTACTGGTGATCAAATGAGGATGATGTGGTGGTGGTGGTGACAATGATGACGGCACTGACAGTAGTAGTAACTAGTGTGTTTTGAGCACATACCTCTGCTAGGAGTGAGGTAGGATGATCATAGATGGTAGTTCATCCTTGAGCAAGGGAGGCGTGGAGTGGCCGAGTATCTATGAGAGGAGCTGGCTGCCTGTGTCCCGTGCAGGGCGGGTGGTCACACGGGCGGCTTGGGCTCCAGCTGCTCTCTCAAGGTAGAACTCAAGGCGCTGCAGGACCACCTGCAGGGGAGACACGTCTGTCTGGATCTGGAAGATGGAAGAGGAAACGGATGGGAGGGAAGGGAAGGACGTGGCCGGGCAGCAGGGAGACAGCGGGCGGCACGGTGTGCGTGCAGGGGTGTGAGCTCCGGGAGACAGCGGGCGGCACGGTGTGCGTGCAGGGGTGCGAGCTCCGGGAGACGGCGGGCGGCACGGTGTGCACGCAGGGGTGTGAGCTCCAGGAGACGGCGGGCGGCACGGTGTGCACGCAGGGGTGCGAGCTCCAGGAGACGGTGGGCGGCACAGTGTGCATGCAGGGGTGCGAGCTCCGGGAGACGGCGGGCGGCACAGTGTGCGCGCAGGGGTGCGAGCTCCGGGAGATGGCGGGCGGCACAGTGTGCGCGCAGGGGTGCGAGCTCCGGGAGACGGCGGGCGGCACGGTGTGCGTGCAAGGGTGCGAGCTCTGGGAGACAGCGGGCGGCACGGTGTGCGTGCAGGGGTGCGAGCTCCAGGAGACGGTGGGCGGCACGGTGTGCGTGCAGGGGTGTGAGCTCTGGGAGACAGCGGGGCGGCACGGTGTGCATGCAGGGGTGCGAGCTCCAGGAGACGGTGGGCGGCACAGTGTGCATGCAGGGGTGCGAGCTCCGGGAGACGGTGGGCAGCACGGTGTGCATGCAGGGGTGCGAGCTCCGGGAGATGGCGGGGCGGCACAGTGTGCGCGCAGGGGTGTGAGCTCTGGGAGACGGCGGGCGGCACGGTGTGCGTGCAGGGGTGCGAGCTCCGGGAGACAGCGGGCGGCACAGTGTGCGCGCAGGGGTGCGAGCTCCGGGAGACAGCGGGCGGCATGGTGTGCGTGCAGGGGTGTGAGCTCTGGGAGACAGTGGGCGGCACAGTGTGTGCGTGCAGGGGTGCGAGCTCTGGGAGACAGCGGGGCGGCACGGTGTGCGTGCAGGGGTGCGAGCTCCAGGAGACGGTGGGCGGCACTGTGTGCATGCAGGGGTGCGAGCTCCAGGAGACGGTGGGCGGCACAGTGTGCGCGCAGGGGTGCGAGCTCCGGGAGACGGCGGGCGGCACAGTGTGCGCGCAGGGGTGCGAGCTCCGGGAGATGGCGGGGCGGCACAGTGTGCGCGCAGGGGTGCGAGCTCCGGGAGACGGCGGGGCGGCACGGTGTGCGTGCAGGGGTGCGAGCTCCGGGAGACGGCGGGCGGCACAGTGTGTGTGCAGGGGTGCGAGCTCCAGGAGACGGCGGGCGGCACGGTGTGCACGCAGGGGTGCGAGCTCCGGGAGACAGTGGGCGGCACGGTGTGCATGCAGGGGTGCGAGCTCCGGGAGATGGCGGGGTGGCACGGTGTGCGTGCAGGGGTGCGAGCTCCGGGAGACAGCGGGAGGCACGGTGTGCGTGCAGGGGTGTGAGCTCCAGGAGACGGTGGGTGGCACGGTGTGCGCGCAGGGGTGCGAGCTCCGGGAGACGGCTGGAGCACTGGGAGTCCAAGCGTCCTGCCCGCCGGTGGGCTGTGCGTGGGCTGTGGCTGGGGCAGGGCCCAGGGTCCGCTGGCTCTGGGGGCCCCGCTATGCATTATGGAGGTGGAAGAGCTGCAGACTCAGAAGAGCACAGCTGTGCTCAGAGGGGCAAGGCCGTGCCCCCAGTGGAACGGGGTCCAGCCAGCGGCCTACAGACCACCCCTCCACGGGAATGGTGCCATGAGGCCGGTGGGACTGGACAGTGACCCTCTGAGATCCGGGCCGGCGTGCTGTGCCAGGCAGGCTCCCATCCGGTGCAGAGCTGTGTTACCTGTCTCGAAAGCTCCTCGGTACAGGTGGCGAGGTCAGGGGTCAAGCCCTCGGCCTTGGGGTCTGGATCACCCCTGGATCTGCCTGCAGGGGATCTGACCATACCTGTCCCCTTCTGGCTTCAGGCCACTGCTGGTCAGTGCCACCCAAGAGTGCCAAACTCCCTTCAGTGGACAGCAGCCTCTTACTTCCCCAGATGGGGGTATACTGCTTCTCTTGGCTGGGGCAGCAGGCCTGTTTGCTCATCTGTTCCATGAAAGACCAGTTCTCGGGCACTCCAAGGCCTTGGAGGCCAGCTGATCTGCAGGAGCCGTCTCTGCACAGCCCGGGGTGTAAGGCCTGGCTGCAGCCGGGGCTCGTGGGAGGCCTGAGTCCAGTCGGGTCACTTGCTGGGCCTGGAGAGGAAAGGAGGAAGGTGAGCTAAGGAGTGATCCGCGGCTCCCCAAGCAGAAGGGAGTATTGATGTGGCTATTTTTAGCATTATTAAAATAAGTCTGTTTTGCTTCTTTCTTTCTCCTCTCCCTGCACCGTCTTCCCTTCCAGATTGAATGTGTGTCCAGGCCCAGGCGCCAGGGGACCTGCTGCAATCAAAATGTTAATGAGCCCCTGATTGAGCCTCTCTGGATGTCGGTTCCTCCAAATGCCGCCGGGTCTCCTCGGAACCCTGGGAGCAGCACCCGCGTTCTTGGAAAATGAGACCTGGGCATCGTGCTCTATGGAAACAGCCCGTGGGGAGCTCAGGGTGTGGGGCTGGGAGATCGGGGCGCGGGGCTGGGGGCTCGGGGCGTGGGGCTGTCTCTGCTGACAATCTGCTCTTGTCCCAGGTCCCTGCTGTTCTTCGGGTGGTCCTCGGCCAGGCCTGGGCTGGGCAGACTCAAGAAACCACTTGATCTGGTTCTGGGCCTTCTGGGGCCTGCGCCAGGATGCCCGGGGCTGGCGTGCACATGCGCAGTCTTGTGTCTGGGCTGCAGGATGTGGGGCCAGGAGGCAGCCTGCAGAGGTGGCTCTGCGTCTTCGGGAGTGTGCCAGCTCCTCAAGCTCTGTCACGGGGGGCTGTGCCACCTGGGGCAAGTGACACAGCCTCTCTGACACCGGGAGGCGAGCTCCCTTTGTCACTCTGCCAAATAGCTTCTCCTGGTGCTTGTTGGGTAAGCCTGGTGAGCAAAAGTGAATACAGGCTACCCCACGGGGCTTTGGGGCTGAGAGACAGAGGACAGCGTAACACAGACGCACAGGAAGTACCAAGGACACACATGACAAAGAGAGACATGAGGTTCCGGAAGGGCATGGTGGGGGTTGGTGGCTCAGATGCAGCTTCAGAGCCAGGCTGTGTGGTCAGGGCGCTGGGGTGGGGGAGGGGCCAGGCAGGTGTGGGCTGGGACGTGTCCGGGGATGCGGTCAGCCGGGACCTGGCAGTACGGCCACTTGGGTGCCGGGTCACGGTCGGGACTGCAGATGTGGACCGTCAGCAGGGTCAGGAAGAGTGCACCAGTGTGGACGTCCTGGTCAGCTGAGATTGACGAGGGCAGTGAGCTGGGCAGTGTGTGGTGGGTCAGAGCTGGGCTCCAGACGGGCACTGTTGCTGCCCTCTGGTGTTGCCCGGGCTGTACGGGGTGTGGGGGGAGGGGGGCTTGGCCTGTCATTAGCCACCATCTGACACCATAGCTTGATAGACTTCCAGGGTGGGGCAGGGTGGGCCTGGGGTCCGGCACCATGCAGGAACTGAGTGGAAGAGTGGTCAGTCCACCTGCCTCCCCGGGACGGCCATGCTCCTGACCTCGCCGGGGGGGGGGCAGGGCTGTTTGCAGGCCTGGACATAGGGGGGCCGTTTCTGAGGTGCCTTCTTCTCTGGTCCCACTTTTCACAGTCGCAGGTGGAAGCTCGGGTTGTATCGTCTGTGGCGTGCCCGTGTTTTGCCGGGGCGGAGGCCGGGCTGTGTGCTCAGGGCAGGGCCAGCCTGTGGGTCGCCCCTGTCTCTGCCAGGCCGGATCCCTTGTCTGGCTCCAGCCTGTTCCCAGGGCGGCAGTGTGTCTAGCCTGCCGTAGGCTGGGGTCCGAGGCTCTGCTGGCTCTCCCAGCAGCTGATGGCAGGGGAGCTGAGCTAGAAGAGGGAGCCCCAGGACCAGTTCAGAGTAGCAGAATCCTCCCCCCCCCCCCCGGCTGGAAGCCACGCATGTCCCGGCTCCCACAGCCCTCACAGGGCTGGCACCGGCCACCCCGTCCTCTTGGTGGCCCAGTGGCTTCCCTTCCAGAAGGGCTGGCAGATGACAGAAGCATTGTTCACCCCTCCCTCCCCCGCAGCCCTGTAGCACCGCCCCTGTGCTCACCCTATAGGTACTGCTGGGGGGGGGTGGTGGTCAGGCACAGGGAGACCAGGCAGGGGCCAGTCAGGGTGGAGATAGAGCCCCTTAGCTGGTGGGGTTCGTGTTCTGGGGCTGGAGCTCCGGAGCTGTGTCTCAGGCAGGCTTCCCGCCTGGTTTGGGTCCAGCGGCCCATCTGAGTCACGGCTAGCCCTGTATCTGCCTGTAGGTGAGGCTGAGGGCTAGTTGGGGATCATGTGTAAAATTCCTTCTGCCCCAGTCACTGCACTCCTGGTCTTCCCAGGACTCTTGACCCGCATGGAGAAATCCATTCATCTGCCCTGGACTAGAAGTGTGTACTCCTGGGGCGGTGTGTGGGGATCCTGATGCTGTGCCCAGGGCCTGGGGTGTGTGGGGAGGCCCAGGGCAGGTGGGCAGCTCCGGCTTTCCCATCCGCTCCAGCGCCTTGTGTGCAGAGGCCTTTTGGGGCTGTTTGTTGGTCATGGGAGCTGGGGGAGGGCTATGGTCCCTCCACACAGCACGAGTCCCTCTGGGTGAGGAGCCCCATATCCCCTTGCCAGGAGCACATCCCACCCCATTTTAGAGACGCAGACAGCAGGCCCGGGGACACGGGGAGACTGCAGGCGAACCAGTCAGGAGTGAAGGAGGCCCGGTGGGTGGGTTTTTAACAAACCCAAGTCCCCTCCCCACCGATTCCACAGCAACCACAGGGCACCTACTGTGTGCGGGCTGAGAACGGACCGCTTTCCCACGGGGGCAGGTAGGCGCGATGCGTTATAGACCGAGAGTCCCTCCGACCTGCAGAGCCGTTCTGGAGCTCCTCCCTAGCCTCCTCTGGGAGCACGGAGCCCAGCCTTGGTGCTCAGTGGGACCCTGGAAGTGGCCCTTTAATTGGGCAGAACGGAAAGGAAACGTTCTCAACCACCAGGCGTTGCCATGGAGACCCCTTGCTCCCGCAGCCTCTCCCCTCCCCTCCAGTCTCCAGGAAGGGAGGACCCTCCTCAGAGTAAGACCTGGTGGCCTGGGAACCGCTATCCCTGGGACACCTCCCCTCCCTTTTTGGGGATCTCAGGCAATCAGAAGAGCAAATGGCCCCAGGCACCAGAGCAAGAAGAGAACACAAACCGGGCAGATTTCCCAACTGAGGGTCCCAGCTCCCCTGGGGTTCTCCCGCTTCACAAAGGGGCCCTGGAGGTTTGGAGGTGCCTGGGCCTTCAGAGCCACAGCCAGGGGTAAGACAGCCGGGGGAAGGCGGCCTGGCTGGCAGCCCAGGGCCCCTGCCTGGGCTGTGGGCGCTCAGCCCTGAGACCACACTCTCCCAAGGTGGGAAGTTTGGCTACACGTGGACACCAGGCTGGGGGAAGGCCCAGCTGTCCCCAGCCTGGTCCCAAGAAGTGGGACTACTGGGTTTTTGATATTTACCCTAAGGGGGGCTGGTCTGGGGTCCTCGCTGTCCCTTTACCACCCTCAGGAGTGTATGTGTGTGTGTGTGTGTGTGTGTGTGTGTGTGTGTATGTGTGTATGTGTGTGTGTGTGTGTGTGTGTGTGTGTGCGCGCGCACGTGTGTCTGCACAGGCATGCCCTATGGGCAGATGGGAAGGAAGCCATGGCCCTGTTGCTTGGAAACACCACTGTTTTCAAGGCTGGGCTGTGTCTGACAAGTCTCTGGGGTCCAAGGCAGTGCTGTCACCAAGGGCATCTCGAGTGCGCTGGGCCCTGGGGCTTCTGCTGTGAGCAGGGTGGGTGGGGAACTATGCACTGGAACCCAGGGCTGGGGACGTGTGGTGCTGAGCCCCTGCATGCCACACAACGCTGACCTGACCATCACGGGGACAGCAGTCTCCGAGAGGCCAGCGCTTGGGTGGGCCAGGCAATGCCAGCGGGCAGGGCCGGAGCGCACCGGGGCCCAGAGCCTGGATGCCACGGAGCCAACTATCATCTTCTACAGACCCAGCTTTCTCCTCTCTAGTCCCACAGCCCGGGAGAGCCTGTGGTCAGCCAGCTCCTTGTGGCGGCCCCTGCCTGGGGATGTGGTGGGATCTGGTATGGCCCCGCGCCCTGAGGTGGTCGAGGTGGAGCTCTGCTGTGGAGCCCGCAGGTTTCTATCCACATCCCTCAGCCTGACCGGCGCCAGCCATGCACAGAAGAGCCCCCAGCGGGGTCCCACCCTCCTCTGTCCAGCACAGAGGAAAGGGTGTTGAAAAATGAAGTTAAAGCCTCATAGGCCACCTTGTCACCCGTGAGGGTACAAGCAGCAGAAAGCGGCCCCTGCCCCTGGGCTGGGCTGTGAGTCAGGCATGCTCACAACCCATGTGTGTCCTGGAGCAGGGGGCGGCTACTGGCTGCCCATTCCTCCCCAGTCCTGGCCCCAAGGATGAGGGAGCGCCGCGTGGTGACCCCGAGTCCTTCCCACGCTGACATTCCCACAGTCCTGGGTTGCCAGGGGCAGCCTGGGTACTGTGTCTCACTCCAAATGTCACCGTGGAAATTAAAGCTCTCTGGAGTGGTGTGTCACGCGGTGACTTATTAGATCACAAACGGTTTAATAAGGAGCGGGATCGGGGAGGGCGTGCGGCCGGCTGCGCCTGGCTTGTAAACCAGGCAGCGGAGGCTCACAAAGGTGGCTCTGGGTACATAGGGTCTTGGTGGCTAAAGGACCAGTGACCTCTGGTAGGGATGAGGCAGCATGGTGGTGACCGCCACACCCCTGCACCGTCCAGTGTCCAGTGCCAGAGGGACAGGAAGCCGCGGAGATGGCGGAGAGCTCTGAATCCCCAACCCCC